GGGCCCCCCACAGGGGGGCTCAGGGCAATCGTCTGAGTTCAAAGAGGTGTGGGCCCAGGTTGTGCACTCTGGGCCTCCAGCAGGACCTGGGGTGGGGCGGCACGCAGTGTGCAGGGCGGTAGGGGTTGGGCTGTATTTTATTTATTTGTTTATTTATTTATTTTTAAAGAGATTTTGGCTAAAGGGCACATGTGCTTACCAGAGACACAGAGACAGACAGACAGACACATAGAAAGTGAGAAATCAGCCCCGCCCCCTGGCGGATGGCCATGCCATAATCCCTTCTCCATTCTCCTCTTGGGATTTTGAGCACACACGCGCATGGGCTTAAAACGTGAGTTTTCAGCTGCCAGGTCCAGGGTTCAAACTGCAGTTGACTACGTGGGAGTCCAGCAACGTAACCATTGTGCCATCTGCTGGTCCCTGGGACTATTTTAAACAGAGGGCATCTTATACATGACGAGTGGTAAGCAGCACGGCCAGCCCCAGGGCCTGGCACTGCGGCAGGGAGGCTTGTGGCGCTGGCTGAGCTCGAGCCCTCCCTCTGGAGAGGCGTGGGGACACAGGGCACAGACCTGGCAAAGGTGGCCTTAGCAGAAAGGTGGCAGCCACGCTGGCTGTCCCTCCAGAAAAGCTCAGGTGGAGCTGTTGTACGTGGTCTAGGTCCCAGACATAGACATGGCCATTCCCAGCCCCCGTGAGTCTGTGGTGTCACTAATGTCGAGCAACTTGGCCACCAGGTCTTTCTGGATACGGGACGGTCGGAAGTCTGCAGCTACAGAGCTCAGGCACCCACAGCCTGGCCTGAAGTGCCAGTTCTTCTCTGTGACGCGAACTGGCACCTGGACCCGGTCCCCAGCACAGATCCAGTCCCCAGGACTCCAGAGGCCGGCAGCCATGCGGGTCGCTAACGCCAAGCTGGGTTTTCTCTTGTTAAGTCACAGGATAAAGCACTTTACATATTAATCAGGGTAGGAATCTGAGAGCACATATCAGGGGACTGAAATATGTAGATTTTGATGATGAATTCACGCTCATCAGAAAACCAATGAATCATCCTAACTTCATTATCAGGAATTATTTGATGGGGGAATTGGCCAGGCGGGGGCGGGGAGGATGGGGAGGAGTGGGAGCAAGGAGGGTTTCTTGGTGCTCAGCCCAGACTCTCCCTCCCAGCGACAATTCTGCGGCACGACCGGCTTCCAGAG